CATTACCGTATAGAATCCAATTGCAATTACCGTTGCTCCAACGATGCTGATTGTCAAACAAGAAAGTGGTTAATTAGATTACTGTACTTAAAGAAAATAAATGCAGAGTTGGGCACTTGAGTTTGTACCTTCCCAAATAAAGAGTATCTCCTAAGAGAATGACTCCCATGGCAACTGCAATCGCGATGGACAATGGTTTAAACATTGCTACATATACTGGTCCTTTCACGCGCAAAGCCCAGGTGTGAATTGTATTATTTAAGGATGAACCCAATATTCCCTGGGTGATGCAATGCATATCATTTCATCGTACATGAACAGAAGTAGCAAAACATTTAGTATAAAGATATAAAAGAAATCAAACTTATTTCTTGTTTTCACTTACAGAGCAGAGGATGGAGGCCAGTGCGATATCCGGTTTAATTATCCATTTGTTTGAGTCAGGTTCAGATAAAAATCCTACAATAGCAGCTAGGATGCTAACAGTTAAGTTGTAGAAGAAAACTACCGTCACTTCTGCTGGATACACCTTCATAATCCATGTCTATCATAAAAAAAAAAACACTCTATTCAGGGACTAAGTCTGCGTAAAAAAAAAAACTTGCCCGCACAATGAATCAGGAGTCACAAAATAAAGCGAGAATATACATATGAAAGAAAATTGTAAATAAGACACGTAGGTGGCGTAATTTGCTTGTTGTAAAAATTGAGTAGGAGTAAAATAAGAATATCATACCTGAACTATATACCACATTGGGACTAAAAAATATTCAGTTGTGAGGAAAAGGCCACCAAGCATCCAATTCGATTGAGATGAGCTGAGAGGTTGACGTAGTAAATTGGGTGTGGCTGTGGTAGGCACTAATATTTTTGGGCCTTTGTACAGAGTTACTACGAATGCTCCAGCTATGGACACCACCGTGCCCAACACTTTGGCTCGAGTGGTTGATCTTTTCAACTGTATCTTCTCCATCCTGTTTAAAAGATCCACTCATCAAATTTCTTCTTCTAAAACATAAAACCAGAGAGACATTTTTTGAACTTGACACCACAGGTCTAATAATGAAAAGTGACGAACATTTAAATACAATCCACACATGAGTTTATTTTTGTAAATTAGCGTGAAATGAATCAGTTATACCGTTGGCCTGTTTTGAGGTCACTCTTTAAATTTAGTCCCCGTTAGTCAAATTGAGATAGCTTTGCCCTTTGCAGTAGAGTTGGATGAATTTTTCTTTTACAGACCAGTTTAATCCAGGGACCTTATAACATCGATGCAATTATAATAGTGGCCTCGAAGGGTCATTTATGCAAATGATTCGATATTTTTTCAAGCCTTTGGCCTACAACCTTTTGTTTTCAAATAATGAATCAAATGGCCTACATGCTACAACTTAGATATCAGTAATCTTAGTCAAGTTTTTCCTTTATTTCAACTATTTTTTTCGGTTGGAAAAAAATGATGGATGCTGACAAAAGATATCAACAACTTGACAAAATTGGAGATTAAAAAAAAACAATCTAGTTTCATTATAGTGGGGACAAGAAAATGACCTGAAATTAGGACATGAGATTATAAAAGAGAACCTGAAAATGACAGCCAAGACGAAAGTAAAAGCAGGGACGAGATTGCTGATGGCGGAGGCAAGCGTTGGAGAGGCATAGATAATGCCTGTATACCCCATTATCTGTGATGTACACCTGCACTTCCAATTATGCACTATATTAGTATACATTATGAAAAGGTAAGAAAACATAATTATATTTTGTTATTGGACTATTTAGTTAAAATTTACTAGAATAAAACACCAGTGAATGATCATCAAAGCGTATAGTCTAAAATGTTACTGGTGTTTGTTGGATTTCCACTTTACCCTGAATAATTTGCACCGTATGGCCTTAAAAAGCAAGTGGATGCATTTTTCATTTTCACAGACAAATTTTTAGCCAACTGAATTAATGTGAAACGAATATATGTGGTGCCCTCAAAAGAGGTCATTTGCGCAAATGCCCAGTCCCATCTATATTAGTAATGAAATAAAAAGTAAAGGACAAAACTTTACAAGAATTCTTATTGACATTGTGCCTTAGTATATGAAATAGAATTACTATTGAAGTATCAATCAACTTGTACTTTAATCTCAAATTATTGAAGTTGACTTTTTGATCTCTCTTTATTGGTTCAGCACTAACTTTAACAATTGAATTCTGTCAAATTAGGCTTTGACCGAACTAACACCCCAAAAGTCAGCTCAATTGAACGAGGATTGCTAAGAGACCATGGTCCGGTCAAATAGATCTCTCTGATATTATGTCAAATTAGACTTACCGCCTAAATTACACCCCGAAATTGGTTCAAAGCAGAGGACTGTCCGAACCTTACAAAAGTGTAAGAGATATGTTCTCATCTTAGTTCGACGTGGATCATCTCATCAACAAATTCAATTGATTTAATCATTTATAAGACCAACAACATCAAATTATCCTAATTTTCTCAAAAACAAAAAACAATTTTTGGGTTTTAGCATATCTACAGTGAAAAAAACAAGAAAAAGAGTCAAATTATTACCCGATAACTCCAAGAAGAAAGATTTTGGCAAGAATCGAGCAATTGAGAGGTGGAAGAATTCTTGATCTGCAATTAGATAGGTTTCAATTTTTCAATACCCCATCAGATTCTTGATCAAATTTTACAAACATGCAATACAAAAAAAAAAAACAGAGCATGTACCTGGTGGAGAAGAAAGGAGAAGGAAGAAGCAGAAGAGCCGCAAGACCATAACTATAAACAACAAAGACATGATTACTCATGCCTTTGTTAGTAGCAGCTTTGTAAAGCGTATTTAATCCAACATTTATACATTCCATAGTCACCATAGCTGCAAATGGTAGCACTTCTTTGTAAAAAGTTGTCTCTCTGTTATTGCTTCCCATTTTTCCTCTGTTTTTTTCTTCAAAATCTTCAACTTCTACGCGTGGCGGACATGAGCTTTACCTAAAAATCTGATATTTATTCATACGAGTGTGTGTGTTCAATAAATACGATATGTTATGGTCCAGGATTAAAGTAACTGTTTTTTTTTCAGCTAAGCTTACATTGAAATTGAAGCAACTGTTTTTTTAGCTAAGTTTTATAGGGAAAATTAAAGATGAAATTTTTTACACTTTTTTTTTATTCCTAAGGTCCTACATTGAAGATGACATTTTTTTATTATTATTAAAATAATTTAGACCAAAGGTTGTGCAAATTTCGTTAATTTCTAACCATCTATTCATCAAAAAGTATGGTTTTTTTTTTTTTTCATTTTCTAATCCGACAGCGCTTTCAACTTGCAAAAGTTATTTTCGAATCAAACCGTCTTTGTACAATTTGTAACTAGACCAAGACTCAATATATTTAAACCTAGTTATGTTAGTATGATTAGTCGAACGAAGTTATTATTTGTGTTTGTTCAATTGATGTGGGGACATGCAAATAAAAATTGATTTATTATATTTATTTTTGTCAGTTTTATCTATCTATAATCTTAAATTGGAGTCCAAAATTCTTGTTAAAACCTAGTTATACAGAGAGTTTTGAGATTTTATATAAAGATATACTTGTATTTGGTTGAAATTTAATAATTGATAACATATCATTTTGCCGAAAGGGAATTAGTTAGTGCATATAATTGTGATGTAATTAAAGATTAAGAAAAAAAACATTAGATGAATGGGCACGCTAAGTGGGAGTTATCCTCATGAGAGATGAGAGTTGCTTGTGGAAGTGATAAAAGGATGAGTGACTATTATATTGTGCTTTTGTGTGATAAAAGGGCAATCTACTAACTCTACATAATTGGTTTCCTTTTGAATAAACGACAAAAGAGCAAGTGAAGTTTGAGTAACATTGGGGTCGATTAAATATGAATTTGTGTCAGCAAAATTATAGTATTTTTTAATAAAAGTGATTTTATACGTAGTTAAACTTAATATGAAACGTTTAATTAAATATAATAAGTAGCTACTACTCTATCCTACCTTATCGGATATAATTGGCATCCATTCAACTAAAGATTAAAAAAAAAAACAAGTGAAGTGTGGAGTGGAGCTCTAACACTGTGGAAGGTGAATGGTGACACAAATTGATTGTTGACATTTCGACAATTTATGCACTTTCCTTTCAATTATTGATACTTTCACCACTACAATAATGCTTATAAAAAATAAAAAGTCAGTGCTAGACAAATTGTGAAATTGACCTACTTCTTTTATCAAAGAAAAAAATTGCAAGGAATTAAAAGAGCTAGATTAAAATCAGAAATAATACTAATTAAGTAACACTGATATTCCTAGGCGTCTTCAATCATAATTTCAAGTTAAGATTATGCTTTAAAATATAATGATAAAAGTTTAATTAACTATAAGATTAATTCGTTGATCTTGCTGCTTGATCAACAGGGACATGTCTAGGCTTAATTTTTTTAAAATACAAACATGTAAATTTGTTATTGTGTAATGTGTGGCATGAAATTCAAACCTAGAACATCTAAATTCTACCTTCTTTAATATAAATTATATGTCATGCACGTCTCCTATATAGTATCTAAATTGGCATAATTTTGGGTTTTGTTTTTATATTAAAAAAAAATACTACAATAATCTCGATCCCATACCTAACATGATATCAATATGTTAGAAAAAAAATATATTTAGATAAAATAATCACATACTTCAACATGAGATTAGACGGTCACATAAATACGCCATAAAGAATATATCCAGTTCTCCACCCCTATAAAAGGATTACTTCTTGCACTCGTAATTAGAAGTGAAAGCTGAATGTACAATTCACTTTACATCTTCTCCAATGACCACTTTTCTCGTCTCTTTTGAAAATGAAAAACTAATTTCATGAATAACATATCTTCTTTCTTTCTTTAATTTCTTTTTTTTCTAACCTAACATAAGTATCTATCTCAACCAAATTATATTAGTGTTCCTTCTATGGAGATCAATTATTCGCACATAAATAGAGCGAGATTGAAAATTAACAAGACATATAATGGTCTAGTTACACTCTAAACTATTATTTTTAAGGGTTGTGTTTTATCGTTAACAACTAAATGGAAACAGAGGGAGTAGAATTTACCAACTTCTTGATGGCATAAAATGCGAAGTTACTAACAGAAGAAGCTTAACCAACTTTACTACATTACTTAGTCTTATGTTTTTCTTGCCACAAGTTACTTGTGCAATAGAGGGCTTGTTTGATCTGTTGAGTCAATTACACAAACAATGTCCTCAACTTCAACCATGGACTTGATCTCCTTAGCCTTCCCCCACAGAACAGAATAAAATCCAGCAGTTATAATTACTGCTCCAATAACACTGCACACAATATTCAAATAAATAATTCACTACATGAATGTTGTTCTTTTTCCGAAAAATGCTGGCTATGGGCTCTTCAAAATCAGAAGGAATATGTTATCACATGTTTAAAACCACTCGTTTCAAAAGCCATTTTTTTTTCCTTGTTAAACGTTGTATCCAGTCAAATATATTCAAATGGAGGGTGTATGTAATACAGGGAAAAGAGAGACAAGGGGTTAAAGGTTAATTCTTAGGAATAAGCATTAATCTATTTTTGAACAACAAAGCTAGTTGACTAAAGATCTATAAGCATGAGTAGAAGGATGGCGTTGTCTATATATTACCTTCCTAAATGGAGTGGATCTGCAAGGAATATGATCCCCAGGATTGCTGATATGACCATTCCCAAGGGCTTGAACATGGCCACATAAAGAGGACCTTTCTTGTCTAAGCACCATGTCAAAACGTTGTAACGGAAGACACTTCCGGAAACCGCCTAGAGTTCAAGAAGATTTATAACCGATGAGTCACATACATAATATATCTATATATAAAAAAAGAACAAGGAGAAGAAGAGACAGAAAACGAAAAATGCATCAAATATCTTACGGAGAAAACAATGGCTATCATCCCAATCCCAGGCTTCACCATCCATGTCTTTGGATTGCTTTCTAATGCCAGAGTTAAAATTGCACATTGAATACTCCCAAAGAAGCAAGTAAAAAACACTATTGTCATGTGTTCGGGGTATTTCTTCACGGTATCTGTCTGAGTAAATACAAACAGATATATATGAGCATGTGACTTATGTTCTAATTATGAGATATAAACATATTTATACCTACGACGCAATAGAGCAGCTACAGCCTACAGTTTAGTGTCTAAAATGATTGAGAAAATGCCCAACTAAAACTAAAGAAGTAAAATTTTATTTGAAGTATAAAATGAATCGATCCCACCAAAAGGTTGCTCGTGGGAAAATGTTTTAAACGAAGTATATTTAACTAAAGTAAGTCCTATATACATGAAATTACCTGGGAGATTTTTAAGCTGATTTTTAACTTCAAATAATTCATTTTCTCAATCTTGAATGGCTTTCTAATATGTTTACCTGAAGAATGTTCCATCCAGAAGACATGATGCAGGTGGTAGTAATCAGAAGACCTCCCAATATCCAGTTTGATTCTTGTGAAAGTACTAACTCGTGATGGGATGAATCAGAAGGTAAATTTGATCCTAGTACCCTTGGTCCTTTGTATAATGTCATGATGGATGCCCCCATAATTGCCACTACGGTGCCCACAGATTTTGCTTGACTGCTGGCCTTTGTTATATCTAACTTCTCCATCCTAAAAATGTCAAAAGACTGAAAGAATGAACAACTAGTTACAACTGAAACTTATGATCTAACATAGTACCACTTTTACTAGAAAAAAAGACATAGTGCTAGTGTCAATACCACATATAAGAGAACACAGATCAGTAATTTTTTAATTGTCCTCCGTCACACAATTGTGAGCATATCTATTAAGTTTAAACAAATACTCAAGCAATGGCAGACCTACATGTACACTACTGTATGCTCAAGCACACATTGTTCTTTACACGATCACTATATTTTTAATAGGAAACTAGCATTTACACCAAAATAGATTCACGAGCACCTTCTGTGATTAAGAGCAAATAACCTACAAATTCTGGGTCTGCCACTATATTGAAGACGAGAAACTATTTAGGTTTGCAACAGAAGAAAGCAACTTTTTTGCACATATTAAAGAATGATTTAGATACTGGAAAGTGGAAACCCCTAACTATGCACAAAAGTGAGCTTAATTTCTATAGCATTAATTAGTAAACCTAATGATAATGAATGGTAAACTATGTTGCCATAAACACTGTATATAAATCGAAGAAGAAATTAGGAGTTGGCGAAGCCTCACCTGAAAATGATGGCAAGCAAAAATGTAAAACCTGGCATCAAATTCCCTAAAGCAGCTGCCAGTGTAGGAGTGCTGTACTTAATACCTGTAAAGGCCACAGCTTGCACCAAACAAATTCTGCATTTCAGTTCACAAGTTAAATTTTCCCCAAATTTGATAACAATAAAACAGAGAAGAAAATTAGTAGAATACCCCAACAGGCCAAGAAGGAAGAATCTCCACAATATAGGCAAAGTAATAGGAACCATATTGCTTCTGAAAGAAAAGAAAAAAGTAAGACTTTTTTAAATTTGAGTAATCTCAAGAAATAGGATTGATGATTTTTGACAAACCTGTGTCTATGGAAGATTAAGCAAGGAAGAAGAAAAAGGGTACCAAGGGCATTATAGTAAACAACATAAACAAGATTGTTCAATCCATCATTCATGGCTGCTTTACCAAGTGTAATCATCAACATTTCACAACATTCCACCATCACCATTGCCAAAAAGGGCAAGAAATCAGTTGACCAACATTGCATCACCATTTTTCTTTCTTTACACTCCCAGTCCCACACCTAGTCAAGAATCCTTTTTTTTCTTCAGAAGAAAGACAACAACTTTTTCATTGCCGTACAAAATTTGATAATGTTTTTTTTTTTTTTTGGTTTCATTAATCAAGTTGGACCCTTTTTATTTGCCTATCGTGCTTAAACCTAAAAGAAAGAGAAATTTGACTACTGCGGCCAAAGCAGGGTAGGGTAGAGTTGTCAACTTGAATATTTTTCGTATTTAAATAATTTGTACTAATGAAAGTATGAGTTAGTTCATGACAACTTGAAAATATCAAACATATATTTAAAAAATAATCTTCAAAATCTACTCTTAGAACTTGTGGTCAATCAAATTAGAAATTTTTGTATGTAATAGATTATGTCAAACACAAAATCCTGCTTCCCACCACTTATGACTTCTCTATAAATAGAGGCCACAAGTAAAAGTTACTCGAAGGCACAACTTGTGTAACTCTTATTTCCCACTCAAAATGCCTAAACCCAGAAAGCCTGGAACTAAAGGATTCGTGATTCAACTCGGTAGAAATCACATATAGCAAATAAAAAATTTATATTTGTATGTTATAGCAAAGTTTGCATAATTGTTCTTCATAACAAATATAAAATTGTATAATTCGCGATACATATACAATTGTATAATTCGCTGGCCTAAATTGTATAATTCGCTGGCCTAAATTGTATAATTCCCTAACCTATTTCGCTGCAATTGTATAATTCACTATCCTATTTCACTGCAATTGTATAATGCACAATTGTATAATTCGTTGCCTATTTCGCTGCAATATTTTCATAAAATTTGCTTTGCATATAATTGAATCGAATTAAGATGTATGTATATTGCATAATTATAAGTGTATAGCAAGAAGATATATGTTTCTCTCTCGCTTTATACAAAAACAGAAACACAATATATATACTTCTGTTGTATAAAGCTAGAGAAAATTGTATTTCACTGTAATTGTATAATTCGCAATTGTATAATTCGTTGGTCTTTTTCTCTGCAATATTTATATAGAATTTGAATTTGTCTACAATTGAATTGAAGTAAAATATTTGTAAATTGTATAATTAAGTGTATAACACTATGTTTTTGCATGTGTACATACAATTTTCTCTCGCTTTATACAAAACAAAAACAGAATTTATACACTTCTGTGTATAAAGCGAGAGAGGCGAGCAGAGGGAGAGTGGCGAGCGAGATTTTGGAGAGAGAGGCGTCTGGGAAACTTTGGCTAACGTTTGCTATGGAGCACAATTAAATCAAACCTAGCTACTCCATTTATTTTAGGTTATTAGTTTGCTATTATATACAATTTCCCCCTTTTTTTTCTAGATCTTATTTATAAGGGGTGTGCACTGTTTAGATTAAATTGAAAAATCAAATCAAATCAAACAGAATTTTAATTTGGATTGGTTTTTAGATTTTTGGTTTGATTTTGCATTTATAATTTACTTTATTTGATTTTTTGATTTGATTTCGGATTTAGAAAAACTAAAATAAAAAAAACTGAATTTTATATAAATATATAGAATTATGATGGAGTTAACCACTTTTATCCCTTTTTAGTTATTTTCCACATGATGACATTTATAATTGATATACTTTTAAGTATTGTATTTTACGTTTTACTTGTGATTTATATTAAAAGGTGTATTTTAATAAATATATAAATTTTATATATATATATAACTTTATTGTAATTCTAATTATTGACATAACCGATTAATCAAGCCAAAACAATTCGAACCAAAAAGAGAAAAATCAAACTAAACCAAATTTATTTTGGTTCGGATTGGATAATTCTTCTTCAAAATCCAAACCGAATAGTATAAATCGAATCGAAAAATCAAATGCACATTCCTCTATTTACTTATAGAATATGTTATTGTTATTATTACAAAAATCAAGATGATACAAATGTCTATTATAATTCAAGAAAAAAAAAGCAACTTAGCTTATTGTGTGAAGTCATAATCATGAAAAAAAAATAAAAACACTTTCGTCCATTTATTTGAATAATTCAAGAAGATAAGCACATCGTGTGGTGCAATTTAGGGATTTATAATGTATGTTTTCTAATCTAATCCCTTTTTCAACGACTAAGACTTGTTTTAAATAAAATTTCTTCACCTGATTATAATTGCCTTCTTATAAGGACAAAATAATTTGCTTTAAGTAAGAGGTTTGATGTAAACTTCATTGTGGCAATAATCTTATTCATATTTAATATTATTAATTTTTGTATGGAGGGCAGATTGCAAGACACATATTGTATTATTATTGCTAAATATAATATATTCATAATATTTTTATTGCTAAATAATTACTGTAATATTCTTTATTTATTGTGATGTATCCTTATTATATAGATAGGTAATATGTAGATATATTTTTATTTTTTTCGTTTTGGCTTGATAAGTCATAATATATGCTACTTGACTCTTTTGAGAACTGTTACAAATGAATTTAAAATTCTTAAAAAAGAATATCTTTATATCTAACAATTATTTATGCATTTCGATTTATTTTTTCTCAGATCCTATGCAGTATAAACGGAATCTAATCCTCGGTAACTTGCAAAAAGTATGTTACATTTGCTTAAACTTCAAGAAAGTTAACATTTTATTTATTTGTTTTAACATAGAGTATCTTAATATAAAGTCTTCGATTTTGTTAGAGGATATTTTATTCTTAGTATATGACTTTTTAGCATGAAAATTTAAATGTAGTCAGATTTTAACATTGTTATCATAGAGTTGTCTATGTTAGAAAATGGTTTATCCCTAACATATGATTTTTTGATGCAAATCTAAAATTTAATAAGATTTTGATATGAATATTGAAAAAAAAATTGTGCTGAAAATGAGGCTATCAAAATTTGTAAGTGGTCCAGTTGGCAAATGACAAAGAATATAAATTGTTTATTACCCAATTTTTTTTTTCAAAATGAGTAAAGAATATCGTCAACATGCCTATATCAAAGGAATAAATAGTAGTAATTTGCTAATTGTCTAATTAAATTTTATTTATTTCATATTAAATTAGAGATTTGAAACCTCAAGAACATTGCATTAGATTGATACATTCACATCATAATATTTCCATTTCAGTTTTTCATCATTAATGTTCTCCAAATAAATTATATTTAATTCCTATTAAATCTTATTGTTTTCCTTTTTAGCTTTTTCTCTTTATCTTTTTCTCCTTTTACCTTTTTTTTTTCCCTTTATCTTCAATTTTTTTTTAATAGGAAATTAAAAGGTGCAACAGTAGTAAGTATTTCTTTTTGTCATTTTTTACTGTTTATTTTGGAGAATAGTGAGACTTGTCAGTTGACAGCTTTTGGTTTCCAAATAAGTCAATGTCCTTTTTCAGTTCAAAATCACCCCTCTAACTTCTCTGTTTTATATTTTACACACTATTTTTTTCTATGTTGCTAAAAACTAGAAATTGTTTAAACATAGAGAGAAAAATAGGCTCAAAAATATTCAAACTTTTTTTTTTCTATTTATGTTGTAAAAGGGATTTCAAGATCCTATAAATGTCTTAGGGTTTTGCTGCAGCCAGAAGTGATTCTTTATATAAAGGGATTGTTATAAGTATTGTTTTTCTGTGTAATGGTGACTAAGTGGGAATCAAGACAGGTAAAGATTCTGTCTTTAGCATTTTCTGTTTGGTTTCATCACTATCTCTTGTTATTTGCTCTGTCACTAAATTGTGTTTTCTTTTGAAAAAAAAACAAAAGACTCCAACTTTTCTTGAATCTGAAGGGACAGTGATTCTGAATGTTTGAGTTTTTCTAAGCTTCTGAGATGGTGAAAGGTAGATAAAAAAAGTTGGTTTTTTTTTAATGAGTTGTTGAGATGATTTGTTCATTTGGTGAAGTTGAGTCACAAAGATGGGTTTCTGGGCATACCCATCTGAAAAGTTCTTGGATTCAATATAGAAAAGATGGTGTTTTTACATATCCTCCTCCTCTGTTTCCCCCATCTCCTCCTCCATTTGGTGGAAGTTCTAGTTTTCATAAGGAACCAAACTCATCTTCTTCATCCCCATCTGGAAACAAGATTAGTCCAGCTGTTCTTTTCATTATAGTTATATTAGCTGTCCTGTTTTTCATATCTGGTCTGCTTCATTTGCTAGTTAGGTTTCTTATCAAACACCCTTCTTCTTCAGCATCATCTCAATCTAATGGATATCCTGAAGTTTCTAGTTCAGATGCTTTGCAAAGACAGTTACAACAGTTATTCCATTTACATGATTCTGGTTTGGATCAAGCATTTATTGATGCATTACCTGTCTTTTTGTACAAAGAGGTTGTTGGTCCTAAAGAGCCCTTTGATTGTGCTGTTTGCTTGTGTGAATTCTCTGATAAGGACAAATTGAGATTGCTCCCTACTTGTAGCCATGCTTTCCATATCAACTGCATTGATACTTGGCTCCTCTCTAACTCAACGTGCCCTCTTTGTCGAGCAACTCTTTTCAATCCCGGGTTTCCCATTGAAAATCCAATTTTCGATTACGTTGAACCGAGAGATGATGATGGTTATCATGGTAATGGGGATCACGAGTTCCCCACTTCTCAAAAGACTATGGAACTAGAGGAAGTTGTGGTTGCTAAAGCAACATTTCCTGTGAGACTTGGTAAGTTTCGAAGATTGAATGATGGGGAAGAGGAAGTAGAAGGAGTGGGAGAGAGCAGTAGCAGTAATTTGGATGCAAGAAGGTGCTTTTCAATGGGTTCATATCAGTATGTGGTTGGTGATGCTAATCTTAAGGTAGCCTTGGACAATGAGCGGAAGACGAATAATATGAATCAAGCCAATTTGGCAGAGCATGGTCCTAATCCGTCAATTGATGAAGAGATTGAGGGGAAAAAGATAGGTATCGGCACAAAAACAGATAGTTATTCTGTTTCCAAAATTTGGCTTTGGTCGAAAAGAGGCAAATTCGCAAGTTCTTCAGATTGCCAAATGGAAGATCAGCCTCCTTCTGGTATGGACTTTCCATGGCTTAGAAGAACAGAAGGCATGTAGTGAATTCTGATCTCTTGTTCTCTTTGTTTTATCCTTTTTTGTTAAACGATAACAGAGAGGTGAGTTTGCCTTTTGGCTAGTATTCTTTTAGATGCTAATTCAACAAAGCATGCCATACTTGATAAATGATAATCAGCTTGATTCAAAAGTTTGTTCCGCAACTGCTATTTACTATTATTCTTATGTTCCTTAAGTTCTGTAAATGTATAGTCATCTCTTCATTCAATTGGTTCATGAATTCTTTCATGATTAATATATGAAAAGCCTAATGATCAGAGTGTTGGGATAACATTTTTTTTTTCATTTGTCATGAACTGTATTAGTAACCACCTGTAACATGCCCAAAATTTGCAACTTAGTCCTTAAGCAGTTTCAATCTGAGTCGTTATGTGTTATTTGAGATGAGGGTCTTTTGGAAACAAACTCTCTATCTCCACGAGGTAGGACAAGGTCTCCATTCACTCTACCCTCCCTAAACCCCACCTGTGGAAATACACTAGGTATGTCGTTTCTTGAAAAAGGTGGATGCTGTAGTTACCTTAGAGTCACGAGTGTGAGATACACAGTCATCTTGATTCTTTTTTGATAAGGAGAGATGTCCAATTGCTAGTAGGCTCAAAGTTCATGTGTGGCAGTACTCGAATTTGTGACATGTGCTCAACTCAAATATCTCTCACGGGTTGTTCTTTTACCCTTGAATCAAACCAATGCCCTATGGCACAGTGGTCTTAGTTAATAGAAAATGAAGACTGGGATTCTCTTTGGTTCTCTAAGCATCCTATTAATTTGGCTTACATGGTCTATATTTTGTATCTTTTGCCTTAAACCACACACATGCGCAAACTTCACTCTTTCTTTTCTTCTTTTATCTTTTCTGTTGCAATGGAGGAGGGGTGCTTTGTGGGGAAGGGCGGTGTTTGAACACATATTTTTGGTGTAGTGGTGGGATCCATGAAAACAGTGGCTTTGTTGGAGACCATATTAAGTGGCATCAGTTATGTGTCATTTGTCTTCAAATATGACCCTGTTTGTAATTAAAGCCTTGTTGATTCTCCAAGAAAGAGTGCTGGCAAAATCATTAAGTTACAAGTAGAGATTAGATATCATAACCCCCTACTAAATTATTAGTTAATTGACAATAATAATGTAGCCTCACATGTTGCACTGAGGCTTAAACTTTAATAATTATCTGAAAATGTATTTCTCTTTTAGTACAGTAACTCTGCTAAATTTCCCAAGTTTTTCAAGTTTGACTTCCTTTGCTTAGCTACATTAAACTTTCCTAGGCCTACGGATTTAGATGATTCTACTGAAAAAGTTTTTTTAAGATGTGAGAGAAAAGTTCCCTAAATTTTCCCTCTATATTTTGCTTCTTTGTACTTTTCCTTTTTCTTCTTTGCGTCCCTAGATGTAGGGTAAAAGGTGGCACAAATTATTTATTGCAACAGCTTCTATATTGTTCCACATTCTATTGTGGGATCAGTTAGATTGTCCTTCAAAGCTCTCCTTGCTCCTTTTCTCTCTTCTTTATATCCGAATCTCCGGCTGGCTCTACTATAGTTGGCCATTTGAACTTGTGACATGCTCCTAAGTCCTAACCAACAAGATATCGCGTGTTGTATATATGTACAAAGTCATGTGACCTATAAAGTTCCCTATGTTATAATCCAACCAGAGTGAGTGTAGCAAATAATTTGTAGTAAATGGCATCTTCACGAGTGCAGATTATAGTAGGACAAAGTCCTTATCAAAGACTATATCTTGAAAATCTGCACCACATGACAACCCACAATAGTTTTAGATTTATTCAACTACAAGGGTGGGGTGTTAGCTTACTTGGACTTGCTGCACATTGTATTTTCCTTTGGTTTAGGCAATGAATTGTCAATATTCTGCAGTGACTGGAAAATGACTTAGTTATGTGGTCCACACATCATATTAGTTAGTACTAATAATAGCTGAAGCTTCACCTTTCAATCATGCTGAAGTAGGTCCATTATTGGTCATTCATCATACTTTTTTTTGTCTCTTCTTCTGCTTCATTTCATCATCACAAATTATGAATTTCAATTGTTTAACTTATTCTTAATTTCAATTATAAATGTCGATTTTATTAGATTAGGTAATGACTTTGTCTCCTCAGATAACCCCAAGGAAGCTGCAACTACTACCCACCGTATAATCAAATAATAATAATAATAATGCTAGTTGAGATGGAGAATTACTATAGTATAATTGTGGCTATAAGAATTAAAATGAAATAAAGTTGGTAGCAATTAGCAAATCTTGGTGGGGAGTTGAGCACTTCAGTAATAGTCAAGAGGCTACTGGATTCCAACCCTTTGTCACCATGGTTTCAATGAAATGCCTCTTTTCGCATATTTAAATTCATAATATTCAAAAGTTAGCGTGATGCTTGTTATTAATTTTCAACTAAGTTGTCGATTACATTTGAAGAAAATATATTAATTTAGCCCTTAAACTTAGCCTTTGTGTAGAGTTTTTTTTTTTTTTTTAGTAAACATGAATTGATGATTCAAGTAACAGCGAAAATCAACTATAGAAACGCAGTCAATAGTGTTACTATTAGTTTATGCGGACCTACGATGCTCATGACATAAATTGAGGCGTAAAGTTTATCCGTATCGAGTGTTTACACTAATTTATTTTAATTAATTAACATATATTTTATTTTATTAAATTACATAATAATAAAAATTGATTTAGTTTGATTAAACATCTAGTACATAAAAATTTTTTCGAAATAAAGTATTATAAACTACGGAAAATTTTTACATTTTTTCGATCCAATGGAGACAGCTGTTTAAAGAAAAAACTTACATTTGCTTTCCACAGTATAAAATTGGTAAGCGACTCTCTATCTATAGATTTAAGCGCCATTTGATGATGATTCATTCGGAACTCAATTAAATTCTTTTTTTAGAACTCAATTAAATTCTTTTTTTTTTCCAGTTATTTTCTTCATTTCAAAAAGAATGATTTTTTTATTTTTTTTAGTTTGTTTAAAAAAAGAATGGTCCCTTTTATTTTTTTGCTATACTTTTAACTTTAACTTTTCACCTGACTTTTTTTTTGCTATACTTTTAACTTTTCATGTGGCATATTTAAATCACAAAATTAAAGGGCATTTTGGTACATTTGACATAATTTTAATTTTGAACAACATAATTAAAAAAATTTCATTCTTTTCTTAAAGTCCGTTCCAAGTCATACTAGGTCATGCTTTTTAAAAGGGAAGGAATATATCTTTTTATAGTCCAGATTAAGTTAACATTCTCATCTTAATCAATGCCATAAATATAATTAAATTAACCTTCTGTAGACATTATCATTAATCACTTTAATTTTATGAATCATCCCATATAAAAGATCAATGCTAATCTGATGTAACAATTCATCAAAAGAAACTAGAAAAATAATGTGATTTATCAAACTGTAAACAAACAAACAAATAAAAGTTGGTAGTTACATTTTTAAAGAATTAAATCGAATAATACCAATTGACTAATCAAATTCTCAACTAAAAAAATAAAATAAGAGTACTCAAATCTTTTTTTTATTTCCCCAACTCAATCAACCGACCAAATTTTATGTCAGAGAGAATCAAAACCACCTGTATCATCACCGTCACAAGCGTTGCAAATAACAGAGCCCTGCCCAATTTCTCCGCCGCAATTCTCGGCCCATCGCCGCCGCTTGTCCGATTCCACATCATGGCTTCCTAATTCGCCGCTTCAATCAAGATTCCGGCGGCTGAGGAATTCACAACAAGGATGATGAGTCTTTGCCCAAATCCATTGAAGACTTGGCAGAAACCGGAATTGAAGCGAATCTCGACGAGAAATCACGAAATAAACGATCGTCTTCCGATTGATCGTTTACCCCTGGTCCATCATCGAAATTCAAGGAGTAACTCATGGGGTCGTAATTGAATTTATTAGTTTTAGAACGATTTTTATTGAATCGTCTAATAAATGTCTTCCATTTTGGACCTGCCACAAGTTCCGACCACTCCCTGACTTTCATAACAACGTTTAACCCCTTATCCCACCAATGCGTTTCTTCCTTTTGATCACTGGTAGAGACTCGTTCCCAAACGCCTCTTCCACATGTGAAAGATGGAAACCAAAAACAACAACCCCTTTTCGTGAATTCGAGCTCCTGCAATTCTTCATTCACGTCCGAGTCTTTTGTGTTTGTTTGACCCGCCATGTTTCAAGAAATTGACGACAACAACAAGAAAGGAGAAAATATCACACAATCCGCAACCCCTTTAAATTAGGGGTTTTGTTGTTTGCAGATAAATATGGAATTTTATCAGAAACCCTAAAGCATTCGGGTCTGGATTTCTCTCTGTCCATTAAGTTGCGAATGTTTATAACGGAAATATAGGAAGAGATAAGGGAAAACCGGTAAATGCCGGTGACAAATTATTAGTTGGGAGGGTACAACTGTTAGAGGAACACAGCTGGAGCCAACTAATTTTCGGCTTAGTTATGATTTGTACTCGTGGCAATTTTTTATTGGAAAGAATATCTATACAACTGTGGACCTGTGGCGCCTCTCCTAGTTAATTTGATTCCGTCTTAACAATTAACGGATTGTTTTGTTGAAAGTCACCTATTATTGCCGGTAATTCTTGAGGGTATTAAAGTCCTCAACGGTCGAAAATCGAAGTAACGATAAATTTTTTTTTTGTCAATCTTCCTTTTTCAGTTTGGTCTTTGCTTTCACATTTACTTCATGTATTAAGTCACCGTAATTAAGATTTATATACGCTGTTTATAAATTTTCAAAACGTCATATTATTATTTTTATTATGTATCTTATTGATTGATATTATATCATTTGTGAATATATGCAATATATATCGTATCAATTTTTTCATTTCCTCTATTACTTAAAAAAAACAACAAGCTAATGATGCAACATCATCATGATCGGCAAGTTAATTATTTGGTGTAACTGTGTGATATGAGTAGTTTTTTATTTGTTGACAATGATAGAAATTATTAAAATTGAAACTTTGTTACTCTATGATATACTCATCCAATTTAAGATGGACAATTTTTATATCATATAATAATTAAGAAATCATTAATAGATTAAATTTTACTAATTCTTTTTCTTTGTTTATATTAATAATCCTCTTGAAAAAAATTCTTATGTCTTCAAAATTTGTTTAAACTTCCAAAGTTCATATATTTATAAGTGTAAAATGAAAAAAAATAATTAATTTTGTTTTGATAAAGTAAGTGATCAAGTAATGTGAGACAAATAATTTTAATAAGAAGCTCATCTAATATGAGACGGAGTAAATAGCTCAGAAGTGAAGGATTCACTTCTTCTTCTTCTTTTCTTGTTAACTTCATAAAAAATTGAAAATGTTTTACAATTAGTTAAATTAAAAGAGAAAAAAAAATAGTTCAAGGTCCAAGATATGTTGAGGATATAGAGTTTTAATGGTGATTATGATTTGAATAAGGGAAATGATATTCTCAAAGATTTCATTAATTTATTTATCGCGATCTCTCATCATAAAATGGATCATATTATTAAAGAACATGTGTATGATGGGGAAACAAAATTGATCTGCCATGTACTTACTAAATGTGAAATTAAGTGCTTATATATATGTTTTATACTTTATTTCATTGGTGTCAAACTATTTATCATGTCATATTTTTCTAGAGTTAAAATAATAAAAATTTTAATTGACATTTAAAAATATATTGATTTATTATATTGATATAAAAAAATATAATTTTTTAATAATTTTTTGAAATAATTAATTTTAATCTAATCAATTAACATTAAATTTTGAAAAATAAAATGTGATCCAAAATACTTTTGTATGGAGAGATGGAGTAGTAATTAAATTTGCAAACACTATATAGAAGTCTTGAAGTTCGTTTCTTCCACCTAATAATTTTCTTGAAAGATGAACCTTTAAATTAATACATATAACTCTTGAGTTCATTTATTTTCACCTAAAATAATTGTATTTATTATTCATAGTAGCAGTAGCTTTTAGTCAACTTAGAGGAAAAAAATAAGGAGAATAATTCTGTCTTTATTAAATTTTTAAAACTATATAATAAAGAAAGTTATAATCCACCAAACTCTTTGTGTGCAAATATTAGTATAGCTGGAGAAGCAATTGATAAGGGAGTAGGACACACGCAACCAAATGCTGAGCCTCTAAATAAAGGGAATATGGAATCTAGTATAATATTTTTATTTTTTTTTATTATATGTGTATTTGTTAGCACTTTAATTAGTTGAAGAAAAAAAACTTAACACTTTGATAACAATAATAATAATTAGAGTGCTTGGTGGATGTTATATTCTAATCTATCTCTCTCCAAAATAATTGTATCAACTCACACCTTCAAATCTATAATCAATCTTTTATGTTCTATATTTTACTCGAGAACATTCATGATTTGATTAATTACCAGAGGGTATATTTGAAATATCTCATAAGAATGTATGTTAAAGAAAGATTTGAGAAAATTGTGTGCTATGTCATTCGGAGCCTAAAAGGTGAAAAATGTTAACAAAAATTTCAAAACGCTATATGAATTATTATTTTTAACTAAAACGGTAAAATCGCTCAATAAGTAGCGAATTTGTCCGTCGGAAAAAGTAAAATCGGTAGCGATTTGTTAAATTTGAAATTTAAACAAAATCGCTCCCGAAGGAGCGGTTTTCAATATATATATATACATATAGTATTATATTTTTGTTATGTGGCTGTTGAGGCAGCGTCTTGAGTTTTTTTTTAAAAAAAGTTTAATAACTTTTTAAAAAAAATATCAAATCGCTGTCAAGGCAGCGATTTTAAATCAAAATCTTTTTTAGCGATTTGATTTTTTTTTTAAAAAAAATTAATCAAAAACCACTGCGATTTGATTTTATTTTTTAAAAAAATTATATAAACTTTTTTTTAAAAAAAAAAGAAGCAAAAAAAATTAAACTTAAGTCGCTGCCTTAGCAGCGATATATTAAAAAAAGAAAATTTTAGTTTGGAAATCGCTCCTTTGGGAGCGATTTTGTTTAATTTTTTTTAAAAAAAATAATCAAATTTAACAAATCGCTGCTATTGCAGTGATTTTACTTTTTCAAGCGGACAAAATCGCTACTTCATGAGCGATTTTACCGTTTTGGTTTTAAAAGAATTTCATATACAGTTTTGATATTTTTATTGGCATTTTTCACCCTTTCGGCTCCAAGCTCTGCCGTTGTTGTGTGGTGTATAAAGAAAATCGACTGATTAATTCATAATTCACAAGTAGATAATATATATTGGAAATTATCAACATTAATGAAGGTTGAATTCATAACCTTAGATAAAGTGGATGGAGAAGTTAAATGACTCCGTCGATGAAAACTTCATTTTGGCCCAAATCGTTGATGTTATAGGTATATCTAGTGACGGTCAGACGATAATTAAAAAGGCAAACAAAAAATCTTATCATATATGATAAAGGTATAATATCATTAGTAAACTATATTTTATAGTGAAATTATCATAATTGATTATTTCAATTCATCAAGAAATAACGTGTCAGATTTACTTACATAAAACTTTATCACAAAAATGGTTGAATGATCATTGAAGAAACTGAGATTATGGCTGAGGACAAATTATCATGATGATAACTTTACCTATATATAAGATTGAAGATCCTAAGACCTAGCTAGGTTCAAAAAGATCAAACAAAGTGATTGATAACAATTTAATATTATCAAATTAAATAATTTTTTGATCTATTCTCATGATGAGATGACGTTCATAAGCAACAAGGATAAGATGTCAAGGCCTTATAATGGTTTATATATATATATATATATATATATATATATATATATATCACCAAAATAAGTGTAAAGAGTAAGTTGTTTGAAGGGAAAATTTGTTATGTCAATTATCTACGTATTTATGAATCAAGCAATGTTCATAGATGAAATAAACAAAGTAGTGAAGTTCAAAGGCAATAGTGAAGCATATGTTCATACTATCAGTCAAGTGATGGACTAAAATTTCAGAACTTTATCAAACATTTTAATAAACAAATATTGAGAGTTTGTGTGATTTATATTACCTTATTATTTGCATTCGACAAAGTGGTGGGCATTTAAGGTACAATTTTGTAGTCTCATATATTCAATATTTCAAAAAAAAATTTCATGAGAAATATGATTTAGTAGGAGACTTGAACTCGAATTGTTTTGACCAAATTCAAAGTTGAAAAAGGAGAGAAATATTTTGAGGTGAATTCCCCTGTTGTTCGCGGTAGTTGTTGATTAGAATTTAGTAGTAAGTTAACGTTAAAAATGCAATTTGTATGGTAATGAGTCAAGTTTACGCCATCATTTTCGACCATTTCCCACATCAAATTCATAAATACTACTACTCATTCTTCACAATTATTTTTTCTTTCAACTTTTTCTCACTAAAGCCATTCACAATTATCTATCAAATCAAATATGAAAATGGGCACAACAAAATCTTTAGCTATTTTCTTAACCTTCTTTTTGTTAGTCACTTGCATCCAATGCCGTCCAATCACAAATCATCCTAATGAATCAATCAACAATTCAAATTCTCATAACCAACGCATGAAAGTTCATCAACTTGGTGGCTCATCAGTTTCTCTAACTGAAGCCAAGAACTCGGGTCCGAGTCCTGGGGAAGGCCATAATGTGGTACACAATGAACACAATTGATATTATTCTAATTGTTAAGTGTTTCATATTCGTTGATATGATAGAGAGAATTATGTTTCTTTTTATATTATCTTGAACAATTTTGATCCTTATATAATTTATCTTTTTTGAATGGACTTTATGTCCGAAGTTGCAATAGTACATACACAGTTCGTAATTATTCATCACTGCGCATTTGCTTTAAATTTTTTAATTTAATTTTTCAAAATTTTATTCATGAGTACTCTAATTTAACCGGCAGCTAACTATATATTCTACTTTGATTTCTATTTTTTTTTTGTAAACGCATCAATAATGTTAATTTGATTTGTTTTTATCATCTATGTGAATTTATTTATATGTTATGTTTACAAAATTACTTGCTATACGTTGTTGTTTCAACTTTTCATCGTATTGGCAATTGCTTGACGAGCCGTGGATTATGCTCGAAAGAAATAGAAATAGAGAAGAGCCGCATCACATGAATCTATTATGATTTGTACTTAATTTTATTTAGTATTTCTGCAAAAGCTTGTTTCTATAACTATTGTAAATTTATATTTTTCGGAGTATAAAATTTTGGGTGCTAAATTATTGCATTACACAAAATTTTGCGTGCCATGATATACTAATCAGTGACCACGATGCATGTGTCCTATTTCAGTTTGTTATTCACAGTGATGTTACTTGAGAAAAAAGCGTAACTACTGGTCAAGTTGATGACTCTTCTCTTAAAAGCTTTGAGTGATTAAAAAGTCATTTTTGTAACTTGTAGTAGTACTAATTAAATGAAGACCATTTGCTTCAATTTAATGAAAAAAATAAGAGGTACTGGATGAAATAATCGAGATATGAACAAAAAGTTGAGGGTGAGATTGATCCTCTTGCGTCACACATTCCATAAGTCATTTCAGTAATACCCAAGTAAGAAGGTATACTGAAGTTATTTTCATGTGTTTGCTTGGGGACAAATTAAAGTTCCTTTGAAAACTCAAGTTAGACCTGTTTTTGGACTAGTATGCATGAGAGATTTCTTCAAGTTTACTTTATATTTAGGTCATTATTGATTGTTTTAAAAGGAAATTGATCTCCACACCACTCAATGTCTTATCAAAAGCATTTTCTTCATGTCGTAGATCATCTAATAATTTTTTATTATTATTAATTCTATATTTGAATTTATCTCTAAACAACATCAAATCAGGCTGAAATAGGCCACAATTGCTTAATCTTTTAAATTCATTCAACTTTTATAGCTTATACATTTCGTTATCTCGACAGATTCAATTTACTTGTCCTGCCTCTTTAAACCTCACGTATAAATTTAACTGTATAAATTTCAATCAAAACAAAATATACTTAATTCTCAAAAAGATTCACTATAAGTTATGGATTACAAAAGAAATTCAGAATTCATATACTTTGTTGGTGCTGTTTTCTATGATCATATCCATTTCCCTATGAAAGATACAACAAGTGAAATCCAGACAGAGTACAAGTTGATGTTTTTCGCAATGGTCGTCTAGCTATTACCATCAGAATGAGTAACGCGTGCTGTAGTTGTACCTGGATCGAACGTTGTGATTGTTATAAGCAGGATCCCCATAATCAACTGCTTTTATCACCATTGTTTCATGTCGTCCATCCTGTTCTTGAACTGCTCCAAACACAATCTCTTTCGTTTCACAGCTTTCCTCGTAGTATGTTTGAGGACTTGATGACTGGTGCTTGTCGTGATGCTGATACACTTGTGGAAGAAACTGTTGTTGATGTTGATGTTGTTGTTGCTGAAAATTGCCATGCCCATGTGCATTGCCATTCCATCCTACATAATGTGATTGACTTTGTCTGATATGTCGTGGTTTCTCCGGGTCTTTGTTCATGATTGGATAGGTTTTTCGGGGTGTAGGGTCTCTGGTATCAAGGGGTGGGGCCTCATCTTCATCTCGAATTACATAGCTTTCCTGCATTGGCCATGTACTCGATTGTTTGTGATTGTAATGGTAGTGCTGCTGTACATGATGGGGGTAACTGTTCTTTCTGAAACCTGAGAACATTCCTCCAAATATTTCAACCACAGTCGAACCAGTGTTCATAACAAGCCTTCCTAGTGATAGAAACAGGTTTTCATCCTGTTTCTCGTATTCATCTTCTGGCGGAATTATGGGAGGCCTCACTGACTTCATATTTCTCTGATATGGTGGATGTTGCATGCCTCTGACAGGAGCCCGCTGATCGTCCTGCCAATCAAGAAGGAAATGCATTAAAGATTTTCATGATGCTCCGCACTAATTGCTCCTTTCTATTAATCCACATTTGTAGGGAGCTTGGTGTTGACATAAATAAGGAATTATTTTCTGATTCCTGGTAAATTTTATGCTCATTGCATCCATCTTTCATCTTTGTTCTATCTCCTTTTCGTACATACTCCTAGGGAATGATAATTACTTGATAGATTCTATGATTAGGGAAAGAACAAAGAAACGGATTCTCAAGGTCATAGTTGCTTACACTGTTCGATGAAAAAAGGGCTCCAATTCTACGTTGTAACAAGGCCAGCATGTAACCAAAAAATACAGCCGCACAAAGCAGTGCAACACCTGCAGGGACAACATATATTTTCTTCTGAACTTCTTTCATAATCAGTGGTGAATTAATTGGTAACACCAAGAAGCAGAAGAGTTGGGTATACCAAGTTGTAGATTGTTATCGTCATACTGGTGTGAACAGTCATCATCATTGAGCTGTATCTCTCTAATTGCTTGGTTTCCTCTGTCTATAACTAATAGCGAGCAGCTGCTACCAACAAAAACCACATCAAAGTCATCGGAAAATTGTGCATCTTCACTTGGCCCATCAAGATGACCTCCACCTCGGGCTGACTTTCCTCCAGCAATAGTTACAACTCCTGCAGATTATATAAAACATGCTGGAGTCATGAACGATACTTGATTGAATTTCTAGTAACATTAATTTTCTTATCGAACTAGTAGTACCGTATGATATTACCATGATCATGTGCATGTTAAATTAGATGTGCCAGCCAAATGCTGGTATGGGTTAGATTTCATAGCATAAAGAGTTTATGCATAAATCAGGACAAATGTTAGGCAGACATTCAAAAGTTTACCAGCATCGCTGATTTTTCTGATTGCCATATTCATGGTATCCGCAACATATATATTTCCTTGATCATCCATTGCAATTCCTTTAGGATGGTCCATCCTTGCTTCTCGTAGCCTCCCATCCACATGCCCTGAATACCCTTCAGGAGATCCAGCAACCAATTTTGGACGGCTATCTACAGTTCAATCATCCGCGTAATCACAATGTCAAAATTTGATAGAAGAAAAACAAGATCATGTAGAAGTGCTTATCAACATCTAAAACACATGCATTCCTCCAAACCAAGAAAAGAAGTGAGAGAAGCTGAACTATACAGCAGCACAGAAGAAATAAGTGAGAATGAAGACATACATCCTACACAACTAGTTAAGGCATTTGATTAACTGAGAGTGAAAACACACATCTACTTTTGCTCGGAAAATTAAGAATGAGTTCATTTTAATTTAGAAAAGGGATCATAAGCAATTAAACAGTAAAGTGAAAGACGTTGGTCACAAAATAAGATGGGGGGAACTATAGAGTTTAAATAGAAAGAACCACCAAAGCTCTATCTGCTTCAAGAAGTGGCCCCATGGTAAGGAAATGAATGTGAACCTCGGAACAAAAGGAAAAGAAAGGAATATTTCAAAGTAATTTAGAGCATGAAAACTGAACAAGTATTTGAGATTTTAGAGTGAGTGTTGTAAAGCTATTCAAGCATCTAGACTGTGATTATTTCTTTCTTTTATACTACTAAAAAAACTTTTGAGCGAAACGTATTTGAATAACAATTGTAACTCCCATAGTAGGACCACCTAGCATGATTCAAAGCTTTGTAGTAATAATATACAAGGGAACAATGAATAGTGCAGAAGCATGAGTTCATACTTTACCCACAAGAGACACAACCTTTTATTTTGGATTGGATTAGAAAAACATATAGGACCCCATAGAAATGATTACCTCCCTCTTCAGTAAAGAATAAAGCAGAGAAGTTTAGCCTAGCACTCAAGACTCAAGGAACTTGGTCCCAATACAAAAAGTATAAATTAACAAATTTAAAAAAAGATGGGCTTCTACATTTAACTTAACTAAAACAAAGAGGGTAAAAAAAGAGAGATGTTCCATCTTCACAAAAGCAAAAATGAACCCCAAACATAGAAGTCCATTGTAATAAAATTCAGATTCGCATAAAGCTTGTAAATGAAGTTGTTCGGCTAAATCAGCTCAAAGATACTTTTTACATGGTGTGATATTGTCCGTTTTGAGTCAAACCGGTTTTCTTCTGAAGGGCTCCCACTGTTAAGAGATTGCACATATTATATGTAGTTTTCCAATCTTTTCAGCTATCAATGTGGACACTTTGTTCGCACACGCAACAAAAACAATTAGAATAAGAATATTATGAAAACTGACAAAGAGAGAGAGAAACATTAACTCCCAGGATTAAGTCCTAGAATGTGTTAATCACAGCCATAATGGACATAAAACGATACTGATTTTGTAGTTTGAATTAGACAACACTAAACGAAACGAAATGCTGTAAGACAATAATTAAAAACTTACATCGAGACAACGGTGTTGACACTCTGTAAACATTACTATTCTCACAATCCAAAATGAGAACTTCTCCAGTTGAAGAAACCTCCACTGAATAAGGTTCAATTCCCATCTTGCTTCCATCAAACACAGTTTCAACAACGTATCCACTCTCAAACTTTATCATTGAACGGGTAGAAACAGCTGCTTTAATCAACACAAACAAAAACACTGATAAGGCACAATTGAAAAAAACAAAAACAGGGGATATACACCAAAATACCTGTTTTTGTCGTCGATTTTAGTGACCACGCCCACTTAAACATCACAGACGCAACATTAGCAACAACCCCACCAACAATCTCTGCAGAAAAAACATAAAAGATTGAAACTTTATATAAAAAAAAAGATTTGAATGAAGAAAACAGAGAATTTAGTTAAGAAATGTACTAACTTGCAGCCGGGGTTGCTGAGGCTGATGAGACTTCAATCAATAAAAAAAAGATAACAAGAAATAAGACAACCCAATTCCTTTTCATGATTCTTGCAAGTTAGGATCCAAGATTACAACTTTGAACAATTTAATACAAGGTAAGACAAAAAGCTCACATTGTTGTTAATTTAAGTGAAAGAAACAGAGCAGACAAATATACAGAGAAACAGAGCAAAAAGCTAGTAGTAGTAGTATATTAAGGATACTAAAAACTTGAAGTTAACTCTTATACAAAAATTTGTTAAAATATAAAGTAAGAGAGGAATCAGATGCTTCTTTACTTTTTTGTTGTTAATTTTTGTTTTAATAAAGAGTTTGGTCAGTAAATAAAGAGCGGATTTGCAGCGCATGTGTGAATTGACGGAAATAGCCTTGGGTATTGAGGTACTGTAATCGAGAATGATAAGGTTAAACGCGACCTTTATAGAGTAGAAAGTGATGTTCCCAAGACAAATAAAAACAACAACAAAGACAGGTGCAGAATATCAGAGCTCATGCGTGCGTCTGCTATGCCGGTAACTCTAATTATTTCTACTTTCTTTTTTCTCATATTACTTTTATATTTAAATAAGTAATATATAAAAAAAATTAAACTAACAAAAACATCTTATTTTACCATTGTTTCTTAAGTTTTCTATCATTTATAATAAAATATAACTAATAATTTGTTATTTGAAATTGGTGGGTATGGGGGTCCAAACCTTGAGGAACTTGCCTGAGTTCTTTTTATTTAATTCGTGATCTAAAAAGAAAATAATTCATTCTTTTTATTTATTCATTCTTTTTGTTTAATTCGAGACTTAAAAAACAAAAATGATTCATTTGCTCTTTTCCCTCGTCATCACGTTTTGTCAAGAAAGAATGAGTAAAAGATTCATTGCGTCTTATGTACTCTAAGTAAAAGATTCATACTCATCCCAAAATTCCGTTATTTAATTTCCATCGTTTCTTCGCAACAAAAAAATTATTTAGCGTATGTTGGATAAGAGCTCATAAATTTAAACGAATTAATAATTTTTTCATAAATCTTATATGTATATTAACTTGTAAATTTTTAATAAAATTGATTGACAGTTATTGTTCAGTGTTAAATAATGGAACGTAAAAATATTTTATACTAAAATCGTAGGTTAAAGACTTAGAACCCCTATCTTTTATTTAAAAAATGAAACAAAATTTAGAACCGAAACTCTTCCTTTTCATTTTAAAAGAAAAAATTTAGAACGTCCAACCCTAGCCCCGTTAGACATAGGCCACGTAATAAAGTAGTTATACATAAGAAGAGACATAGGCCACGTAATACATAACAAGATAATATTAAACAACTTGTTAAACTCATATTTCCATCTCTTTATTCAAACGTACATGCCTCTAAAGTTCAGTATTTCCTTTTAATTTATTGCCTTGTATAAAGCAAAAACTCGTGTACCATTACAACATTTACAAAGCTTTTCGAATTTGAAATACAAAAAAAAACAAAAAACATATGCTACAATTCTATCCTTTAATTAGAAAAAAAGTAAAGCATAAATTATACATGGTAGATCATTCCAACCTCCAATGTTGAAGCTTGAGGGAAGCTCAATGCATATGTTGGTCCACGACAATTTCTTCTTAAAAAGTCATATCCTATGTTAATCACCAGCTTTTTTATCAAACTTGAACCCCTTTTAGCTCTAACATAACAATGACCAAGTATAAATGCCATCCCTGCTTCCCTAGCTTCCATAAGTTCTTGCAACTCTTCGCGAACACTTGCATCCATTTGTGGGCTCTCAGGCACCAGAAATCTTACTCTTTTTCGTGGAACTTCTGGCGAGCTGATCTCTATCATTTCTGTATCTACATGAGTCAACTCTCCGTTGTCCTCGCATATTCTTATCCCATCAATGTGTGTTGAAGTTGTCCCAATAACAGTCAGCCTTTCATTCGCGTCTATATCTTCTACAGCTTCAAAACTATGTCCTCGTCCCTCTGAGCGGATGAATTCAGCTATGCTACAAACTAAGTCCTTTTCAAACTCTACGTCATCCATGTGAATGTCTCGATAACCATATCGTGCTATGCATCTGTAGACACGGTACTCTTTCGGTCCAATTCTTCCAACAAGGAACCTTTCTTCAGGTCTCACGTGAGGTACTGGGACGGACTTGATGCAAAGGAATACAAGAACCTGGTGGAAAGCAGGGAGGTTGGTGACGAAATGGGAGAAAATAGCTGGAATTCCTGTAACAAGCTCGGTGTGAATGAGGCCAATGCCACGGACCCGTGTAATACCCAGGTTGGGACTCAAGGTGAGCAGCCAGTTGATGGGAATTTTGTTTTCAACATCAAACTCGTACTTCTTCAGGGTTCCGTAATGCCAACTATACATGACTCCTAGAAATATAAAAGACAGAACAATCGGTACCCAGGCCCCTTCGAGGAACTTGATTAGGGATGCTGAAAAGTAGAGGGCTTCAATGGAACCAAAGAAGAATATAAAGCAAATGGCGAACAACACGTTTTTGTGCCAGCAGAGGACAATGACTAGAGACATGAAGCAGGTAGTGACCAGCATAACAGTTATAACTGCCAGACCTGAAAGAGGAAAGGTTGCACTGTAATTTCCAACAAAATTTAGTCCTACCAACCATTCTTCAAACCTCAGCAAAACACAAGCATTCAAGAAACGGTAAATCTGCAAACGTAATTACATGTAAGCATTGCAGACACTAAACCAACATTGTCATTGTCATCTATCACATTCTATGAGATTGAGAGTTAATTAAATTCCTCAATAGTATATTTTTAGAAGGCTGTCTTCTTAAATTTTGTAACTTGCAACTTATCCCTGCAGTTTCCGTACTAACGTGTATCTAACCAAGTGATTCTAATGTTATAACAAACCAACAGGACCAATTTAAAATCAGAAAATAACAGGGAAGTGAATTTTCTGTTCTGTCCACGAATGTATTAAAAGAGAGTTCTGTTCCGGTCAGGAAAGAAAAGGAGGAATAAGCTGTGAAAACATGAAAATCAGGCATTTATATAATAAAGCATATTATTTAGCTGTTGATGATACCTGATGCATTGCTTATGTGTTTTGTGTCGCGGAAGCCAATAGTAACTGCCAAGCACAACACCATCAGCGTCCAGTTTACCTCTGGAATGTAAATCTGGCCATGGATTTTGGATGATGTATGTACTATTTTGACCCTTGGGAAGCAACCCAAAGCAGAACATTGCTTGATTATGGAAAATGTCCCAGTGATGATGGCCTGGCTTCCAACCACTGCAGCAAGTATTGCAATAGCCAGAACAGGATAGCGTAGTTTTTCTGAGACAGTGATGAACATATGAATATGCTGAGATGTTAAAAGAGATAACAATGCTGCAACTTCAAATGCATTAAAAAAAATGAGGATGTAGAGAAAAGAGGAGCAAAGTACTTACCAGGTACTGATACATAGAACCCAATGTGGTAATCACTTGCGATAACGTGATGCTTGGAAAGATACGCAGCTTGTCCCATATAAGCAAGAATTAATGATGGGTAAACAACAAAGGTAAAAGCTATCTGCAGAGAAGCAGCTCTTGTTAGGATTTTGGTTGCATTTGCAGTTGCCAAACATAAAGCACTTTAACTTGGTACATCTACAAGGACCTTTATTCATATTGAACAAAACAGCAGAAAATCTCATTTTGACGATAAAAAGTTTAACACACATTAGCTCAGTATCCTCCAAAATGTGGGATACATATTTGATGGCACTCTTTTGAAGCAAAGTTCAGGAAACTGATGCAAAACCGTCCTGTGTCAAGACTCGAGTTAATTACCTTAATAGACAGCTGTGAGAAGTGTCCAAGATCAGCAAACATAGCCTCTGAACCTGAATGATGGACAAGCACAGAGAATACAATATTAACTCAAATAACTTGAGGAATTTGACAAGCAAAGAAATGACAAATCCCACCGTAAACATCAAGACAACAATTTCACATCAATGAATGGGCTACCTGTTATACATAATAAAATCCCACCCAGTGACATCCATCCTCCTCTTTGGGTCTTCTTCAAGAATTTGTACATGTAGTATGGAGATAATGCTTGGTAAACATGGGGATTCCAGTGGATGATGTTGTACACCCCGATTGCACTAATGCACAAAAGCCACGTAATCACAATCGGTGCAAATAGAAATCCTAGTCGATGTGTCCCATAATGTTGGAGAAAAAATAAGAACACAAGTATGACACAAGCAACTGGAACTTCTACATCTGCAGATACAAATCATTTCAGCATAATATTCATTAGTTCCACAGTTATTGCTTCTTGTTTCAACAAAAAGATTTTCAGTATGATCTTAGACTATAACAATAATCAGTGACATCTTCATCATCCATAGAAACAAAATAAGTTTGCTTCTGACTCCCATAATTTCAAAAATTAACTCGAGAAATCATCAAAACTCCATACTAGTTAAGCAAGCATCATCAAATAACTGTCCTGTATCTGTAATTATATGATTGGTTTGAACCACATTTTCAGATTTTTTCTTGATACAGAAATCCATAAGTTGCTAGTATGAGTCCATTTTAGAGAAGGAATATCCATATTATGGGCCACACGCAATATTTATATGAATAATAAGATTTCTTAGCTTATTCTCCAAACAATTGCAACAAAACTATCAGTTATCATTTTGCTGTCAAACAGACACACCCAACTATTTAGGTAATTAGTTTCTACAGTTCCTTATCATAATCACTATCTACAATTTTAAGGCATATCAGTAAATCTTTTGCTGCATTACTATGTTCCAATGTTAGATTACTATGTATAAAAGCTCATAGGTGTACTTGTCCAATTCATTCCCCCATTCTATCTGCTCATTTCTCACATTCTAAATACCAGATATGCAAATCGTGACTCAGGCACAACAGAGAGGGCAATTGTCTTTAAGGAGCTTCAAGAGACATCATACCAATAGTATATTTTCTTTCCTTCCAATTCAGTGGAATACGCATTTTAATCAGACTAACATACTTTATACCTATAATAGTGGTTGTACCAAACTAACTTAATCTTTTTCCACTAATTCTATTCAATTTCGGATATAACCAAACATAATCCCGCAGCCTCTTGCTTTATGAAATAATACTATTAGTCTCAAGTTGAATCCTTACTTTTAAAAATAAGGATAACATCAATATGGTCTACCACAGTGGGGAAAGAACCTAACTTTATTTATTTATGGATGTTGATCTGACTTTGATTACCATATAC